TTTTAGGTATATTTTGCTTTCCAGAAACAGGCTACATCGATGGTAATCGCTACGGCTACTGTCACCAGCATCCCAATGTTGACTCAATTTTGCAGTGAGTCAACTATAATGGGGCACAATGTATGGTTTCGTACAAAATATCCTCCTTGAAAAACACATTACACGCTCCGTTGACAGCTGTTTTGGGTAGAACAAAATGGCAATACGCTTAGCCGTTGGAATGCTGGGAGTTTCGCTGATCAAAAACTCCAGTGTTCCATTTGATCATTGAATCCTTCAAAACCAGGCTGCCTCCAGTCACCAAGCATAGCTCATCCACGATGACGGAGTCTCTAAAATCCCCCCTCCCCAGTTGTTACAGACCATTAGCTGGTATCACAACGAAACCGGAACACTCGAAGCATATGGACAGCTACGTCCGCACCCTACTTTTTAGCCCGCACTCCTACTTCTCTGTACGGAATCATATTACTTATCCATTCTTATAACTGCATGACTGACACGTTCTTGCTTGCCTTGGTCACACCCATTCTCACTGATTCTCACTGTGAGTTTGTCGTATTCGTAATCGAGCTTTTAGCAACGCTCCGAAAATGAAGTTCGGTTGCAGGGAATTTTCCTATTGTGACAGGATGCTCTGAGCAAAAATACCATCTGATAGATACGATCCGAGGTCCTCTAATAACGAAAAAATATCAGTCTGGCCCGAATGTAACGCGGACTGGACCATACAGGCTAAGCGACAAACTGAACTCTGGCCACGATCACCGGCAACTTGACCTCTGCTTATAGAATGTTGTGTACTGCAGTGTGAACTTTTACAAAAGAATTACGCTCACTCGCGCAAGCTCCTGCCTTAAACTACACTGTTCTCCATCCAGTCAAATAAGCCTAAAGGATTTAAGCTTCTCAACAAATATGGTGTCGATCAGAAAAGGTAGTAAAAGAGAAATTATGAAACGCAGAAGACAGATTTCGTCCTTGCAGGACTAAGGTATAACGAAGACGGGATAAGGTGCAAAGACGGTAATTATTCCGACAGAAGAAAACCAAGGGGGACATATTCCAAAAAACCATCTGAACAGGTCGGAATGACCAAGGAGTAATTCAGCAATACAAAACACCGCTTACCTTACACCAGTGCGTTTGAGTTGACGCCCAGCTTCGTAGGCCTGTTGCCAACCTATTTTGGTGAGCACCTTTTCATCAGGCGTGGGACCTTTCAGATTGTACTGCCCATGACGAATAAGAATTAGCACTTTGCTGTAAGGTTCTGAGCCAATATGTTCAACTGCCGGTAATGCTGGTGCTCAAAAGAAAAAGTAGAAAAGTGAGTGTGATGGGCATGTTAGATACGGAAAAACAGACCAGAAAAAGGCACCACAAGTGATACACATCCCAAAAAAGCCCAAAGTTTCATTACAGAATGCTTAAAATGGCTGTATTATGTTGATAAAACAGATAGGTAGCAAGCAAATGGTTTCAATGAGGTCCCAGTGTGCCTGAAATAATGGTAACCCATCAGTTTCTGCTTCAAAGGTGAAACCAATCCAAGATGTGCATGTAAACGTTTTTAGTAACACATCGTTGGTTCTTCCAGACATTTGTTGGTCCACGGAAATGCACAAGGAGAGAAATTCCACTCCGTTTTATACTACTGATGAAATGTGAGTAGAAGATAGTCAAGTTTTGGGGCGTCCGCTGCATTTGACACTGGATTACTGAGCCGTTTTTTTAGTAGCTGTTCATTATTGTCCAGTACTCAAATTTCGAGAGGATGCTTGGTGCTGTTGACTTTTCAAAAACCCTACGGTATCATTGAAGAATGTTTAGAAGGAATGACAATGGCGGTTTCATTATACGTTGTGAGATCCAAAGTAGTTAGATACTAAGAATAGCTGAGATAAGAACCACCAGATTCGTAGCTTGGTCGATGGTGTACACTATCCCTGGACGGAAAATACAGACGCGGCCTCATCTTCTGACTAAGGCGTGCATGAACTAACTTCCACAGGATCACATTCACTATACGAAAAATGCCATGAAAAAGCCAATCCTTTAGCATGTCAGAGTCCGGACCGATCACGTTGATCTAGTTCAGATGTGCGGGTTTCTTCCCCTAACTATGATTCAATTCATTACGGCATTACTGATTCGCTGTTCCCATCAGACACGGATGACATCAAGGGTCAAGCACCTATTCGCTGTGGGCGGGGTTTCAACCGAAAGTAACTCAGAGCGTGACACTAATTTGGTTTAAGTGCAAACGAAGCACTAAGAAAATTCCCCACTTAATTACCATTACGAATATCCCAAGAGTTATCCCAAGGTTTAATCGCGATCGTTGATTGCGCAGATTCCGGAGAAGTATCCTCAGATGTGTTCGCCGGTTTCCAATTACGTTTCACAAGAACTGCAGAGAATAGTAAACCACCGGCGGCTAGAGGAAGTTTTGTAAAATTCATGGTGTGATTACGAGTTGGTGGCACGCCATCAGAAGAGCTGAAATGGAGAAAAGTGATGTTAAACAATCGACTACTAAGTGTTACGGATTACTACTGTGAATTAGTGTCTCGTTTAGGTAACTGAAATGAGTACGATATAAAATTAAAAACAGTCTTCACTGGCGGCTATAAAGAGCGATTTCACACAATTGTCGGAAAAATGAAAAAAACTCCTCTATTACCAGTACAAAAAGGGAGAGGTAGTTTCCGTTAACTCGAGATTACTCAACTGTCAAGTGGGGAGGGGATGTGAATCCAAGTGATACAAGGATTATCAGCAAGTATTCTTCCGTCGCACCCATAACATTCGAAGATAACTCACGGCACACAGCGATTCCAATTCACTCGTGGTATTCCGACTGCTCGGTTGTTTGAATAGTCCGGGGTTATCACAGCCCTCATGTTTCGTTCGGGTCTGGTGGCAGCCCAGCTCACATTGCTGACATCAAAAGAGCGGCGCCTCAGGGAAAGTTCACTTCCATACCGCATTCGGCCTGCTATAGAGAATTGATCAGAAGTTTCGGCTGATTTGTGAAAATCTAAAGCGGTTAAGACTGATCTACCGGAAAGTATTATTTGAACCGGATTTTTTTAATACATAGAGTAAGGTTTACGGGGAAATGAACGACCAAGTCCACTCATCCCCTGCAAGTAGCAACAGAATACAACACAAAGCAAGACATGAAACAACACACTTCTAATAATGGGTTGATATGGAGGCCAGCTAGTCTTCTGAACAGTTAGTATTTATGTGAGTTACGGAAGATCAGGGGTGGTAGGGATGCTCTTGGAGACGTCATGAAGAGACAGTTCTAAAGTATGTAATATGAACTTGATACGGGTAAGTGGATGAGAGCAGCCTTGTCGCTGAGCTAAAAGGTGCACACAACCACATAGACAGAGGGAGGCAGGATCAGATGCACATCTTTCGTAGTAGTAACAGTAGGATAAATAACAGATACTAAGTTCCAACAGTGTGAAATTGCTTGCAGACTATCTGTCAATGAACAGGTACCTACAAAGCAAGCCGTACTCTTTTTAATTGGATTGGGGAGATAATAAAATGAAAAAATGGTCCAGCTGTGGCACCCTTCCGGTATCTAGCTTCCATTCCACCCGAAGGAAACGTGGATACTGCCAGGCTGTCCAAGTCTAGACAGGGGAAGTCGTGAGGCACAGGTCGGATTTGAACCACAAATCTTCCGATCAGTAAATTCGCGCCCTAACCACTCAGCCATCTCAGCATAGATTGGCCTCACTTAAAGGACGAAGTCCTCATTAAAATGTCCAAAAATCTCCTGACAAAACCAATAACTGTGACTGGCAGCCTTTTCTGTCATTTGATCACAATGCCCACTACAGTTAATGACTATATGCGCGCTCTGAGCTCGAGAGGGCTCCGGTCTTAGGGTGCGAACTCACTGACCGGAAGGTGCTTGGTCCGAAGTCAACCCCAACATCTTAATTGCTTTTGTTTAGGCCTTAGCAAGCTGGCCGTACCTCGCAGCACTTGAGCTTCCTTCGGGTGGCAAGGCACCTAGGCACTGAAATGTATTACAGTTGACATTATCTTTTCTAGTAACCTGTACAATCAATGTGCATACATAAACCAAGAAGACTTGCTTTTGTCAGCCATGCACTCAAGACAGAACGAACAGCTCGAGTCCTCGCTCTACACAGTCCTCATCCGCATATTCTAAGCTAAAGAATTTATTCCTTGGAATGGAATAAGGTCCATGCTTAAAGAAATTAAGGTCTGCGAATATATTCTCTGCCGTGGTCTCACACTGGTGTTCTTCCTCTGAATTGCTAGTCTGACTTAGTATGGTGTCCTGATGAATCCTTTCCATAATGGGTGGTTGCAAGGGTCGGGTACTGCGTTACCCAAAACTTTATATTTGTGCACAGAGCATCCACGAGGGTGCCAGGGTTCAGTTAAGATGCAAAGATCAAACAAAATCACGGGTAGGCGAGTAGGAATTTACCAGATTGATTCGATGGCCCTACATTAAAACATTACACGTCTACGCTTATCACACTTAAATAGATTACGTAGCCGCTATTACAATGCTCAAGAAGGGAATGTGAATGAGAAATAGATAGCCAGAAGATTGCGCGGTTCATTACAGGAGAAAGTACGACTGAGAAGGTGAACCGTTTTGACGGCTCTATTGCAACAAAGGAGACACATCTTGGGGGGGAGAGATTAGGATTAACCAAACATTGGGGTCCTTGTGTTGTTCTACAGTGAAAACGGGCTTGGTTTCGGGTAGCGATCGTAGAGTAAACTCGGAATCAGTAGATTTGAGAAAGCCCTGTGGAGAGTTTCCCCAAAGTTGAAGGGAGTCGATTTTGCCGAGACCGTTGGAACAGACACTGTCTATCTCCTAAGGAGTTAGGTAACTGTTGGACCATGCCTTACGGTCATCTACACGAGGAATCGTGTAGAGCCAGTAAGTGATTTCTGGGAGGCGCCGTTCGTAGCTTGGAAGTTCGAAGATTCACTTATAATTTATCACAAGGAGCGACACGAAATGAAAGAATCCAGTCAGCGAGGGAATGGCCGCTAACAGTAAGGTCCTTTTGGCATTCCACAACGTGTCAAAAACCTTGGAAGAATCAGAAAAGCTATCTGTCCCAAATTTCAGCTTAGCAAACGTCGGCGAAAAAGGAGTCCGGGTTGTCCATCCATGAAATGGTCGGCATGAAACTATGCTGTGCTTGATAAAGTAGTTCGTGCAATATTAAAGACTCCAGCACCGATGTGTTGACAAGCTGCTGCGTGATTTTACGAGAAGTTGGAGGTCGGACTAATAGACTGGTGATTATTAGGGTCGTAGATCGGATGCATGACTGACTGTTTTCGTTGCCATTCAACGTATTCGGAAGAAGATGAGGGAACTGAAATAGAGCGAGAGCAGAGCAGGAGATGGAAGAATAGATATCATTTATTCCATGTTAACCACCAGGATAGCAAAGCGACGAAGACTTCTGAGTGATCTGCGGAGATTTATGCTAAACATGATGCTACGGAAGGAACGGAGGTATAGGACATGAAGTTGGTTATTCAAGGAAGTAGCGAGGATTTCAGCTGCTGCGTTGAAGAATGAAGTGGAGTTGTGGTCAGGTGTGGCAATCCGCCAGGTATATATGTCAGAATTGTAATTCCGGAAGGTTGCATGCTCCGGTTGGCAAGTGGCCCTGGTTTGTACTGATTTATAGCTGAAACGCACGACGAAGTTCCAAATAGCTGATGTACTCCACCTTGTGGACGGACACCACCGGTTGAGAACTCAACGTGTGGTCAGGGTGTGCTATTTTGGCCGGCTGATTCTCCGAACCGGGGATAAAAAAGCGGTATGTCCCAGAGACCTTGATGGTAACGGTTCTACATAGCTTGTGTGCTTGTTGGGACGGTCGGGCGCTAACGAACAATTCTACTCTTTATAATATTTCACTGAGATTTCATTTTCTCTCTGTCTAGCCAACTGAGCCGCAGCGCTCTTTCTTCCATTGGTTTACCTGCAATATAGCCGATCACCATCTGCTGTCCCTTGTCTTCTTCCTTGAGGTCTTCCCACTCAGGTAACTAGACTATCAACTTGACAGTATAAATCGCATTTCAGCTGATCAACCTCAGGTGAACGAACACCACCGGTTGAGAACTCAACGTGTGGTCAGGGTGTGCTGCTTTGGCCGGCTGATTCTCCGAACCGAGGATAAAATAGCGACATGTCCCAGAGACCTTGATGGTGACAGTTTGTTTGATGCTAAAGACTACAGTACATCCACGTATTCCATTTCATAAACCCAGGTGATGGGTCACACCCACATTGTCAACATGATGGAGGACAACTCTTTGTGAGACGAGGTCAGTAAACTGCTACTAGAATAACAGTCCAGATGAAGCTTCACTTGGCCGCTTCTTTAAGCAGGGTAAGGACTATGACTTTATCAACCATACGGTTTTCGCTTATAAGGATCAGATCTAGCAAATGGCCCCCAAGAGGGATTATCGTTATGATGATACTGGTGTTATCTGATCGAGACGGGTGTCCAATAGGAAGGAATCAAAACCCAAGAATGGAACTGTCATATAGTACTAGTTAACGACCCGAGGAATTGAAACCAAATACGACTACGAAGCGAGAGCATGTGAGTGAGGGTTGGACAGCGAGCGAACTGGAGAGAGAGATATTCTTCTCGGAGGGAAGAGTTGGACAAATTTTGGTAGTAAACTGCCACGCATCACGTAAATTGAGGGTGAGGGGCGAATCAGTGAGGGAGAATGGTGTGGGCAAAACAGGTGCCGAAGAAAGAGGTATTGAGTCCATGACAAGTACAATTACAACTCTGGTTCGCACACGGGGAGAGTCGAAGAGGGATGTGTTGCAGTTATACAATAGTTTTGCGCGAATCAGTGAGAATGGTGTGGGCAAAACAGGTGCCGAAGAAAGAGGTATTGAGTCCATGACAAGTACAATTACAACTCTGGTTCGCACGCACACAGAGTCGAAGAGGGATGTGTTGCAGTTATACAATAGTTTTGCAGTCGACTCTGTCCACATTGATCCAGTTTTTAGTCAGTGAGTTTATATGAAGAGGACTCAACGATACCAGTTTGTCCAGTTCTTTGTCTCAGAGACTACCGCATCTATATATATATATATATATATATATATATATAT